AAGTAGACCAAGGATAGAAAAGAAAATTCTCAAAATGCTCGATCGTCCACTTTTATCCTTTTGTATTAAGCTTCATCACAGCTGGCCGATCTCCACTTCCAAACGCCAAACTTCTTATAGCAGTGGCACAAGTCATGGAAGAATAGATTGGACATGACGACGATAGTCCTGGGCTGTGGGTAGAGAGAGGGTATAAAGAGAGAGAGACAAGGTATAAAAATGAATTAAGGATTGAGAGTTTAATTGGGTTGAGGATGTGGTTATATATATTAATTTATAATACAAACATTAAACTATCACCTGAGTTTTGATTAAAGATACCTCATATCTGATTTTTGAAGTGTGATTTTTAAATAACTGCAATAGTATAAATTTCACTTATTTTAATCAAGGAAGACCAAGATCGTAAGGCCCAATTAAAAACCTTTTCATTATTGCGTGGGATGTGATCCCCTACCCCTTACACAAATTCCACCAATTGGACATTTCATGTAAATTAATTATTTCTTTCGCATATTATGTTTATTGCATAAATACTAACAATCCCTGTCGTGAAAAAAATAAAATAAATATAAATATTATTCTGGAGTACATTAGAAATCACGTAGGTTTAGGCGTCTATCGACTTGAACCTTGACTTTTTATATTCCATCGAGTTTGTTAACTACAGAGTGAACTATGTCTTGAACTCTATAATTGTAGTTGCAAACTGAGACAATTGAAAACACATAAGACTTCTAAAACAATCATTAAGTTCTCATGATTGTGTTCATTTTGACAATAAACTTTTCCAGTTTTATTGGGTGCTCTAAAGAATTAGCCTCGAATTTCATAGAAAGCAACCCCTACTTCCATTCTCAAATAGATCTTCTATCAAGTGTACACACTTGCACTATATCTAAATACCCAACTGAATATCAGTTATAGTGAGCATTAAAAGCATTAGCTTATCCTTTAATCAATACAGCTGGTACTAGGAGTATCAACAAGTCGAGCCAAGTTGGGTCGTGAGCCGAAATTCAAAGCTCAGGTAAAATGATTTGAG